TAGTAACTAGCTACAGGTATCCTGTCACTCTAGTTCTTTCCAAAATTTTGCATTTTCTACATATTAGGTTTCAAAATTTTACTAGACGACATCTACACTTGATGAAGCCAAATTATATATATAAAACACACAAGTTAAAAAAAACCTGTGAAACCAAGACAGTGATTATTGTCTTTGCATACTAGCTAGAAAATGGAAATTCACCTCATGGATGGAATTTTTCTTCAGCTGTTTAGGAAATAGCAGTGTATTTCAGAACCACACCTTTGAACCCATCTTTTACTGCACTATACTGCTTTTCTAATTGGCGTTGGTCACAGAATAAAACAAACTGGAACTTTAGAGCTTGATTGGAATTCTAAAAGGAGTCTTTAGATAGGGAGACTAAGAAATTGCAACTCAGAGGCCAAGTATGATGGGGCACACCTTTAATCCCAGTACTTGGGAGGCAGAGGCTGGCATATCTCTGTGAGATGGAGTCCAGCCTATTCTACATTGCGAGTTCCAGGTCAGCTGGGGCTACAAGAAGACCCCCTGTCTCAGTACAAACAAATAAGAAATAACAACACAGGATATTAGGTGGACTCTCATCTCTACCAAACTTAAGTTTATTACTGAACATGGTTTCCATTCAAGTACAGGGCTAATTTATGGAAATATTGCTAATTCCTTATCACCACTGGTGGGTTTTGTTGAGCATGTCCTGAAAATCCACTCAGCTGAATGGCAGTTACCTATCATTTCAATGCCTCACTTGCCACTACACACATTAAATTTTATCTGATCAAATTAACTAAACTGAGAAATCTATTTTTTCGCACAAACATGAGAGAAATAGTGTCATTCCACTCAGGTGGAAGAGGATGAAGCAGGAAACCAAGATGGCTCACAGGTAAAGATGTTTGTCATACAAGCCCTACACCTGAATTATGTCCTTGAAATCTACCTGATAAAAGGAGAATATTGACTCCACAAAGCTGTCCTCTGACTGAAACACAGCTGTTGTGGCACATGCAAGCTGTGGCATCCTTGCTCACACATACATACATAATGAATATACATACAGTAACAATAATAGACAAGTAATAGTTATGGATTGTAAAATGGCTCAGCAGCTAACAATCATCAGTGCCTCTAGTCCCAGGGGATCCAACAGCCTCTTCTGATTCTACGTGCACTGAATGCACTTACATACATCCAGGTAAAATACTCATACTCTTAAAATAAAAACAGTACCATGCAAAAAATTGAAGGCAAATGTTTCACACTGTGAGCTTGTGTAAAATCAGAAGGAAATTACATGCCTCTCATACTTATTACTAGAGGCTAAAAGCCCACAACCAAGAAGAGAAGAATGTTGGGCATAGCAAGGAAATATTAGACAAAAATAGCACAAGAACCCAGATAGACACATATCAAATTTTGCAGCTGGTCCTGCACTGGAACATATAGGGCATCACACAACCTCCAATCAGCTTTCAGAGCATTGCACTTTTGGACATCCTCCTTACATGGCTCTGTCTTGAGCCAATTCTGCTTGGTGTCTGTAATTTTCCTTGGTATACAGCCACAAAACTGGCATCTCCTAAGTCATGAAGTCTCCATTGCACCTTAAGCTTCACCTGCACAGCTTAACGCACACTTTGCTTGGGAACTCCATGAAGGAAAACCAGCTGTCTGACTCACTGCTTAGTCTCACAGGCTTTTCTCTGGAGCCTTGGCCCCAGGCTCAGTGACCCAGTTACTACTGCATTCCCCATGCTTGGGTGTTTGCTGGCCAGGTGTGCAATACCAGGTCATGCTATCAATTTAAAAAGTAGCTTGAACTTCTTGAACACATGAGTTGCCCTCAAGTGTCTGTATGACAAATCGTGAGAAAACACTTCCCTAGATCACTCTGTTTAAGCAGGGCATCCCAGAGACTGTATCTTCTCAGAAACTCTTTTTAAAAAAAAAAAAAACATTTTTAAACATTCATTTTCATATTTAGACCATGGAACTTTCCAAGGGCTAGGTCTTACCCTCAAGTTACTTTTCTTATTGTCATTGTGCAAAGTAAAAGGTTTTTCAATAGATCTAATACCGCCAACAATAAGAACCATTTTGTCTGCTTGTCACTAACTTCCATTTCTTTCAAGATTTCTTCTTCTCTAAACCGCTCATTTCTTCATATATCTGCTGTTCTCTCTATTTCCAAAATTTTAGCTATAAATATAGCTAAAAGAAGTTAGCAATAACCATGCCCCAGTCTGAATGTTATGCTGTATTTAAATTTCCTCCACTAAAACATTTTGCCCATTACTTTGGAATTAAGCATCACTTTAATTTTCAGGACATTGGACGAATGTAGATTGTTTACCAGAATATGACAGATGGAACTCTATACCATTCCAGATAGTGTCCTTGCTGCCCCTCAAAGCCTCCTAAGAACTGCCGTTGGTGTGTACCTTTCTATCAGCACCCTGGTCTTCCAAACTCACACAGAATGATCCATTAAGCTCTACTTGTTACCTTCTAGGGCTCACTAAGCTGCAGCTCTAGTCTCTTTTACATTATACCTACAAACAGTTTCCACATGGTCAAGTTTTCTAAACAATGACCCGTGCTCTCAGCATCAATTTTCTCCTTGTTGTGTCAAAACGTCTCACAGAAACAACTTAAGGATTTGAGAGTGTACATTTCACCTTGATAGAGAGCTCATAAAGCTGGAAGTGTGTGGCTGGATATGCCCAGATATTACTAGGCAAGGAAGCAGAGAGTGCTGTAGCAAAACCATAGGTGGGCTATCATCCTCTGATGCCTGCACTTAGTAGCCAGGCATAACCAGCTAGGTTTCATAGTCTCTCCAAACAGGACCATTAGCTGGAGACTAACTTTTCTCAACCATATAAGGATCTAAGTGGAAAAAAACAGATGACTTTATGTTTGATAGATGCCTTCAGTTACCTTTGGTCTAGTCAGTATGTAAGCCAACTTTTCATTAATGATAAAATTAACAGAAACACGGGCTTCTCTCTCTACCTTAATACTATATTGACAACGAAAAGTTAAACACACTGCTCCTTTCAAACACACCCTTGCTATTTTGGCATTTGGATGCAATGTATAGGAATTATCCTTGGGACTTTTCTCACGAAAAGACTGTTGATCATAGAAACACCAGATGTCTCCATTTCAGACTGAACAGTGTCATAGTGATGCTAAGGGCCCTCCCTAGGGACCAGAATCCTGTCTCTTCTAAAAATCACACATAGTTTTGGTACCAGTGCTCACAGTACTCAGCCCCACCCTCAGGAGTGCTTGCATTTCTCTTTGTCTCCTTTCTAGAGTTCATCATTATTACCTGGGAACCGCCAGCCTCCACTCTGATGGTATGCTTGTGTTTTCATTCTTGAGTGCTTACATATATATATATATATATATATATATATGTGCCTGTGAGACTTTTTAAGTTTTCTCCCTCTGTGTATGTGTGTCTTCGTTCTCTCTCTCCTCTCTCTCTCTCTCGCTCTCTCTGTCTCTCTCTCTCTCTCTCCCTCTCTCTCTCTCTCTGTGTCTCTCTGTCTCTCTCTCCTCTCTCTCTCTCTGTCTCTCC